CCCAACATATAGCTACAGCAATATCTTCCTTGCCATACTCCTTCAATTAACACCACCCAAACTATATAAAACTATGTAAACTATATAAAACTACTATAGAAAACTGAAGCCAACATCACTTCCTCAGGGAAACTTCCTTGAACCATACCCTGTCCCCTCCCATGGGCAGAATAAATTATTTATTTTTATGACCCACAGACAGTAGCCAGCTGTACATGGTTGCATTACTATTATTTGAATAACACCTTCCTCTCCCACAGGACTTCCAGCGCCATTAAGAGCAGAGTTGTTTTCTTAATAAATATTTCCTGCTGAGAGATGACAACATTCCTTCCAGATTTGAAATTCTATAGCCTTTACATATAATATATTTTTATATATAAAGAAATGTATTTGTTTTGCTTTACTTGCACACAAACATTCAAACACTTTAATTTTTGATCAAAAGAATTATCTGCTGGGATTATTCTTTGTGGGATGAGGGTTTGGACCACACCAGTCAACGCTAGGGGTTAGTCTCAGATTTGTGCTCAATGATCTTTGCCTGGTGGTGGTTGGGGGACCATATGGTATCAAAATCAAATTAGGTTCAGTGTCATAAAAGGCAAGTGCTTTCACTCCTTTATAAGTCTCTGTCCCTGCTCATTTAAAAATATACTGTTTCTGTAGTTTAGACAACATAATTACAATATTGCTATTGCTAATGACTTTGATGTACATGGTTACTGCACCTTACCACCACCAAAATGTTTAAGACCCACCACCAGTGACCTTATGTTACTTCTTGTGCACCATTTCAGTCCACTCACTCTCTCCCAACTGACTGGCAATTTCAGTCTTTATTCCAAGACCAAGTGTTTGTAATTGTTCCATACTGTCTATTCCCTTGCTTTGTTTCTCTATTTACTGTAGATGAGTGAGCTAATCTGCTTTTTTCTCCTCCCTCTGACTTATTCTGCCTCATATCATTCCTTCCAGTCCCATCTGTATTGCAGTGAACTGCAAGATTTCATCTTTTCTTATACCTGTATAGCGTGTCATCATGTTTAGGGGGTAAACAACAAAAGTGGAATCTCTAGTCATATAGAAATTCTGTACTTTTTGTTTTGTTTTGTTTTTTGGCTATGCCCCATGGAGCAATAGCACAGCAGGCAGGACATTTGCCTTGCACACGGCCGACCCGGGTTCGATTCCTCTGCCCGTCTCAGAGAGACCGGAAAGCTACCGAGAGTATCGCACCTGCCCGGCAAAGCCTGGCAAGCTACCCGTAACTATTTGATATGTCGAAAACAGTAACAAGTCTCACAATGGAGATGTTACTGGTGCCTACTCAAGCAAATAAATGAACAATGGGAGAACAAAGCTACAGTGCTACTCAGGATTTATTCCCTGTCAATGCACTCATGGCTCACTCCAAGCAGGGCTCAGGGATACCAAATAAAGTAACAGGAATTGATTCAGAATCGGCCAGTTCCCTATCTCCTGTACTAAATCTCCAACACAGTGACTCTGGTTAGTTTCTGAGAATTCTTCATACTTTTTGCCAATAAAACTCAACCAGACAACATCCTGACCAATAGTGCAAGAGGGTTCCTTTTTCACCACCTTTCTTACCAATTCTGATTGTTTCCAGTCTTTTTGATATATGCCCTTCTTAGTGGCATGAGATGATCTGAGATATTTTTTCTTTCGTTTTCATCCTTGCAAGGGCAGGATAAAATTTGGCATATTAAATTTGATGTATTTTAATAAAATATTATGCACATATATTCATTACTAATATATATTCCACACCAATACATCAGTAAGAATTAATTTTTAAAACTCTACTCTAATAGGAATGTAAAATTATGTAAGAGCTATGTATAATGAATTCACAAAGAACAGGAAAGAAGAGGAAAAGAATTAAAATAGAACTGTCAAAGAACTATGAGAGGTTTCTAAACAGCAACACTGCAGGTTAACCTAGGGGATGTTCCACTCACTGTAGATGTAAACGTCCCAGTCTTTCTAAATTTTGGACAGAAACTAGGTCAACTTGGAGAGATAAAGCTAAGACATTTTGGCCTGTCTCTTTAGATTTAGGGTCGTTAGGGCCACAAGTAAGGAATTTCAAATGTATTTCCTTACTTCTTTTGAAACTTTAGTGTAGTGCTTCACATGTGAACAAGAAGTGAAAGGAATGTTTTTAAAATGAACTTTGATTATTTTGTGATGGTGACTCATTGCATGTAATCTCAGAGAAATGAATATAATCTACGAAGAATGTTAAAATGTTTCTGCATAAGAACTTTCACCAAATTTCTTTTTTAAAATTAATGAATTTACAAGTCAAGAGATTCCAATTAACATAAAATAACTTATTTATTTATGAAGATGTGTAGCCACATATATAATCAGGTACTTCAATAACAATTTGGTTGAAGAAGATTAAGTGATATCTAGGGGCAACTGTTAAGTGACTAACTCAGTACAAGCCAGATTTCTGATTCAGATTTCTGCATATTTTTATTTTGTTGTCAACTTTAAAACCAAAATTGGTTTAACCAAGTGCTTATTATAAATAACACCTTTCATTTCTCCTAAGAAAGCATTCATTTTCATTGAAATGAATTGAATTTTAAAATATTTGTCATGATGTTTCATCAGCATTAAGCACTTGCTGAGGAAACTTTTCCATTCAGTTCATGAGAAATAATAAAAGACAAGAGAATTACACATCTTTGGGTACTGAGTCTGCATAGGCAAATTTATTTCATATTTCCTAGAGCTTGGTTGACAATGTGATCATTGCAATTAACATAAAGTGACTGAAAACATTAATTCCACTTTGTGCTGTCTGAAATAATTTTAGAAAGTAAAAACCAATTTTCTGATTGATTTTTTTAGCAGAATAACTTTTAAAATATTCTGAATCAAATACCACTTGAGGGAGTTAAGAAATAATTCCAAAGTACTCCCACAAATCTGAATTTCTCTCAAAAAATTTATATGGAAAATGGCACAATATTTTAACAAATATTGTACTAAGTTTTATAAAATTTATACCTTTAAAATTACCATAAAATAAAATATATAATGATTTAATAAAAATAAGCTATACAGTTACTAGTTTGTCATTGTAAGATTCAGAGAGAAAATAATTGTTATTAATTTAAAATGTAAGCTGTATTATTTTTCTTATTACCATAAGATCTAGCATTTATCAGCTGTAAGCTCAGAATTTCAGTGCAATGAACTGCTAAGAATTGGAAGGTTCGTTAGGGATAAACTACTATGGAGACTAGAATAAGTGTGGAGGCAGAGGCAGTGTGGGTGGCTGGGGATAGAAAAATGTCACAGATAACTCTAATGATCACTTCGATGCTATGTTTATATATCATCCTACAAGATGACTGGTGTACACAATTGTATTTTTCTTGTTACTGGTTCTATTTCTACTTGATTTTTAATATTTTATTTTGGCATAGTGAAAAATAAAATAAAGGTTAACTTGTGTTTCAAAAATATGTCACTGCTTTCTTATATTTTTGACAGTTTTGTGTCACATTTCCCACGGTGAGAAATGTTTTTCTTCTTTTGGGAAGTTGAGCAGGGTCATACCACAATTGCTTGCCTCCTTTCTTTCCTCTTCCAGCCAGGTAACAGGCATGTGTGATGCTTCCCAGTACTCTTTTCTTGTTAGGCCATTTCTAAAGCTCTGTGACAGTTGTAGAACCAGTCAGTAAACATCTTATTTAAAGGAGAGTAACTTAGATTGTAACTTACATTCAAGATGAAGATGCTCGAAACCACAACAGAGGAAATGATGAGAGAAACTGAAGATAATTCAGTTATGATGGCTAACACCAATATAGTGCTAAACACCATATTGAACTCTCCCATCCCTCCATATGTGTGTGAGTGTGTGTGTGTGTGTGTTCATGTATAGAATATAGAACCTATGCTAAACACTCACTTAAACATCACATTTTAAAAATCAAACCAGGAAATAGAAGGTACAACAACAAAGTTTAAATATTTCAATCAATTTGTAGAGTGATAGTAACTATAGGATCAGACAAGAATGTACATGAAGACCTTACAGTAACATGTGAGCTGAATTCTTGTATTATTCACATTTTACCGATTAATACAGAAATAGGAGAGGGTTACATTTTGCAGAGTTCATGCAAATCATAGGTGACAAAACCAAGATTTAGATGGAGTGTTGTTCCACATTTTATGCTTTTAACCACTATACCAACTAGCAAATTCAGAATAGTAAAAAAATTTTCTTGGAACAATTGAAAAACAGAGATAAGAAAATAAAGAAAATATATTCTTCATTGCTTCAGAACATGCATAAGCAGGACCCAAGGTGCAAAAACAAAAAGGAGAAATAAAAGCTTTGGCTTCCCTTTTGATGGTCACATTTTGGTGAAAGAGTGACCAAAGATGGATCACCTACCAGACAGTCTAACTAGGCCAAACTTTCTTTTTGTCCAGAGATTTTGTGAGACAGGAATGAATGTTACCAAGGCATTCTCATGCATAGTTCTTTATTGGAGAAATGATGAGATGTGATATAAGAAGTAAAGAGAGGAATAATCGGTCATAAGCAACTTTTATTGATAAACGTTATTGACATTTCTGATTTTACCAAAAAGGATATTACAACATATCTTGGTTCAAAGGTCCTAATGCAGACTTGAATAAACTTATAAACTTGGCTAACTGAAAATTATACACAATGACGTTTCAAGTTAAAATTTTGATACGACTTCTATTTACACTTTTAGAAAAATAATGAAAGAAGCAAGGGGTATAGTGACAGTACAGCAGGTAGGTAATTGTCTTGCACTCAGTCAATACAGGTTCAATCACTAGCAACAATATGATCCTCCAAGTTAGCCCAGAGTAATCCCTGGGTGCAAAGAAACATTAAGGATATTTGGGTTAAGTTTTTTAATTCTTATTATTTTTTTCCTAATCTCATTCACTAAAAATTTTTATTGTAGGCAATTCTTATGCAAGAAGCTCAACGTAATTAAATGTGCAGGATGAAAAGATGGCACAGGCACTGCTGGTACCCCCGGGACCTGAAAGCTTCCGACTTTTTACTAGAGAATCTCTTGCTGCTATTGAAAAACGAGCTGCAGAAGAGAAAGCCAAGAAGCCTACTAAAAAAGAACAAGACAATGATGATGAGAACAAACCAAAGCCCAACAGTGACTTGGAAGCTGGAAAAAACCTTCCTTTTATCTATGGAGACATACCTCCAGCGATGGTGTCAGAGCCCTTGGAGGACCTGGACCCATACTATATCAATAAGAAAGTAAGATTTGATTTTATACTTCTGAAACTATGGCTAAATGATATTTTATATGTTCCATGATACTACTACACCCTCAACTTTAATAGACTTTTCTATGGCTCACATAAATATTGCTTTGTAATTTTCCTGTTAATAAGGATTTTGTAATATATTTCTATTTTCATGTATTTTTATTGTGAACATATTTATAACATAATATAATACAATATTTTCATATACGCTATTATAAATAGAAATATTTATAGGAAGTAACTAGTTTAGACACCTTGAAAGAAATTTAAAAATGAGCATGTTATATATATACAATTTGACAGCGATTGATTCAGAGACAATTAAAACTGACACTAACAAAGCAAATTATCTGTTGTTGACATATTTATATGATGAATAAGACTGAGAACTAAGCAAAAGAAAAGCTATGAAATGATGTATTTCCAATTTATCAGTTTTTACTGACTTGATAATGGATTTGTGTTTTAATGGGCATATGAGTAATCTTATACTTAGTGTTTTCCTATAGGAATATTATATATTGAGAAGCATTTCTTTCAGTCAGTCAGTTTGATCTTATGGTTCACTAACTGAGAGTCTGATAGAAAACTTTTCTTAACTTTGTTTAATTTGGAAGGCTAGATTCTTGAACACTAATTTATTGTTAAAACATAACCAAGAGGAAAGTTGTCCAGAACAAAAAACAAAAAAAATTAGCCTCTCAAGGTTTATGTATAAATATATATATATGCATATGATTTAGATCTACAGTTATAACTGTGTCTTACTGTGAACATAACTATGGAGAATTAGTTAATTCCATAGTGAAGTCCACCGTACAATTTTTTATAAGAAACAAAAAGTGTGAATAATTCTGTTTCAAGTATTTTAGTGTTTGATGACCAAAATTTATGTCTCATAATCAGAAGAATAAAACAGCTCTAAGTGAAAACTAAAATTCATCAATATCACCATGAATTGATAGCTAAGGATTTTAATTAAGCTAGTAAATTACTTCATTTAAATGAATCAGTCCTTTTCAAAAGAGTAGCAGCCTACATTTTAATTTTATTGGACAGAAGTGACTAAAGGAATGACAATGATGTCTTCTGTCATGGAACTGACGCTGTTTGCTAGAGCTCTAATGGGGTCATTTCAAAGTTAGATTGTATGCATATCACTTGAGGCTTTTATTAATACAGTCTATGGACCATGGAGATAGCTCAAAGTGCTGGAGTGCATGGTTTGTGGTGCTACATGGTCCCCAAGTAATACTAAGTATGCCTCTCTTCTTCCAAAATAGAAAAGAAATATTAAAACACAATTCAGATTCCACATATCTGGGGTGAGAATGTACATTTCTCACAAGCCTTTGAGTAAGTTTTATATTGCTATTACATGGACCACACTTTGAATATCAGAGTTTAAATTACTTTAAAGTCAAGGAAAAAAGATATATAGTATTTTATTTTTCCTTTCAATTAATTTCATGAAAGGTAGCTTTAATATCAATTCATATACTTCTACAAATATTTAATTCCAGTTTTTATTATAAAATCAATAAAGACATTTTTTCAAAAATTGGATACTCTGGGGGAAGCATTCATTTCCATGAGTTTTTTGACTATATCTCGCCACTGCCTTCGGGCTTGTAGGGTTTCCTCTGATAGGTCTGCTGTGAATCTAAGGGATGCTCCTTTGTATGTGATTTCCTTCTTTGCTCTTGCTGCTTGCAGTATTGTGTCTCTATCGGCAGTATCGATCATTCTAAGTATGATATGTCTTGGAGTGTTTTTGTTGGGGTCTCTTTTAGCTGGCACCCTTCGGGCTCCTTGAACCTGAATGGCTGCATTGTGCAGCTCTGGGAAGTTTTCAGCAATGATTTGTTTGACGGTGTTTTTTTCGTTGGGATTGTTTCCCTGAGGTTCAGGTAGTCCCATAATTCTAATATTGTTCCTCTTGGAGTCATCTGCTAGGACTCTGATTCTCTGTAGAGCCATTTTGAGGTCCCTTGCCAGTGTTTGTTGTTGCGTGTTGGCTTGTTGCAGCTGATCTTCTAGGTCACTGATTCTCTCTTCAGCTGCGGTCATTCTATTTTTAAGAGAAGAAACTGTTTTTTTTTATTTTCTATTTTTAAAAATATTTTTATTTTTTTTTTATTTTTTTTATTTTTTTTTTTATTTTATTTTTTTTTTAAATTTTATTTTTTTATTTTATTTCTATTTTTAAAAATATTCTATTTTTAAGAGAAGAAACATACTCTACCCGGCTAAACTCTCCCTCAAAATCGAAGGAACAGTACATTATTTTATAGATAAACAGCAGCTCAGGAACTTCATAGACTCAAAACCAAACCTAAAGCAAGGCCTAAAGGGGCTACTATAAGAAAAGACAAACCCTACAACCACAACACAACCCTACAACCACAACACACCCGCACAGAAACATGACACAAAACCCCATAACCATTCTCTCTCTCAATGTCAACGGTCTAAATTCACCAGTTAAGAGACACAGAGTGGCAAAATGGATACAGAGACAGAACCCAACATTCTGCTGCCTACAAGAAACTCACCTCAACAGCCAGAGCAAACACAGACTCAAAGTCAAAGGATGGAATACAATCCTGCAAGCAAACAACTCCCTCAAAAAAGCTGGGGTGGCCATACTAGTATCTGACAACATTAATTTCACCTTGAAAAAGATTAGAAGGGACAGTGAAGGCTATTTTCTCTTCATCAAGGGATACGTACAACAGGAAGAAATCACACTCTTAAATGTATACGCACCTAATGAGGGAACAGCTAAATATTTAAAACAACTACTAACAGATTTTAAGGAGGACATCACTACCAACACAATAGTACTTGGAGACTTCAACATCGCCTTATCACCTCTGGATAGATCAACACGAACAAAACCCAGCAAGGAATTATTGGCTTTGAAAGAAGTAATAGAAGAGAAAGGGCTTATGGACTTATACAGGGCTTTACACCCCAAAAAGAAAGAATACACATTCTTCTCCAGTGCGCACGGAACATTTTCCAAAATAGACCATGTGCTAGGACACAAAACACACCTCAACAGAATCAAGAAGATAGAAATAGTATCAGCCATCTTTTCAGACCATGATGCACTGAGGATAGAAGTGAATCACACACAGACACGGAGAACCAAATCAAACACCTGGAAATTAAACAACTCGATGCTGAACAATGAGTGGGTCAGGAACGAAGTCAAGGATGAAATCAAAAGATACCTGGAAACAAATGAGAATGAAGACACAAACTACCAGAACTTATGGGATGCAGCGAAAGCTGTATTAAGGGGAAAATTTATAGCTCTGCAAGCCTATCTTAAGTCGATAGAAACGATGCACATAAACAATTTGACCTCACAGCTCAAGACCTTAGAAAAGGATCAACAGAAAGAGCCTAAATCAGGCAGAAGGAAAGAGATCATAAAACTTAGAGCAGAAATCAACGACATGGAAAACAAAGAAACAATCCGAAAGATCAATGAAACCAAGAGCTGGTTCTTCGAGAAAATAAATAAGATAGATAAACCACTAGCAACACTCACAAAGAAACAGAGAGAGAGAACCCTAATAAACCGAATCAGAAATAAGAATGGGGATATCACAACAGAAACTAAAGAAATTCAAGAGATCATCAGAGACTACTTTGAAAGTCTCTATGCCACGAAACACGAGAACCTAGAAGAAATGGATAAATTCCTGGATCTCTACCATCTCCCAAAGCTGAATCAAGAAGATATAGAGTACCTGAATAGACCCATTCACATCAAGGAAATTGAAACTGTAATCAAAAGTCTTCCCAAAAACAAAAGCCCAGGCCCAGATGGATTTACTAGCGAATTTTTCCAAACATTTAAAGAGGACCTATTGCCAATTCTTCTCAAGCTTTTCCAGGAAATTGAAAAAACAGAAACTCTCCCAAACAGCTTCTATGAAGCCCATATCTCTCTAATACCAAAAGGAAACAAAGACACCACAAGAAAAGAAAACTACAGGCCAATATCCCTGATGAACACGGATGCGAAGATTCTCAACAAAATACTAGCCAATAGAATACAACAACTCATCAAAAAGATCATACATCATGACCAAGTAGGATTCATCCCAGGGATGCAAGGGTGGTTCAACATTCGGAAATCAATCAACATAATCCATCATATCAACAAAAGAAAAGATAAAAATCATATGATCATATCAATAGACGCAGAGAAAGCTTTTGACAAGATCCAGCACCCATTCATGATGAAAACCCTTGCCAAAATGGGGATAGAGGGGACTTTCCTCAATATAGTTAAAGCCATCTACCACAAACCTACAGCAAACATCATCCTCAATGGGGAAAAACTGAGACCCTTCCCCCTAAGGTCAGGGACGAGACAAGGATGCCCACTCTCTCCACTACTGTTCAATATAGTACTGGAAGTACTTGCAATAGCGATTAGGCAAGAAAAAGATATTAAGGGCATCCAGATAGGGAAAGAAGAAATTAAGCTCTCACTATTCGCAGATGACATGATACTATACTTAGAGAACCCTAAAACCTCTACCAAGAAACTCCTAGAAACAATAGGCTTGTATAGTAAAGTGGCAGGCTATAAAATCAATACCCAAAAATCCATGGCATTCCTATACGCAAATAGTGAAAGAGAAGCAAGTGACATCAAGAAAACAATCCCATTCACAATTGTGCCCCAGAAAATCAAGTATCTAGGAATCAGCTTAACTAAGGAAGTAAAGGACCTGTACAAGGAAAACTACAAAACGCTACTTCAGGAAATAAAAGAGGACACGAGGAAATGGAAAAATATCCCCTGTTCATGGATGGGGAGAATCAACATCATCAAAATGGCAATACTTCCCAAAGCACTATACAAATTCAATGCAATCCCTATAAGGATACCCATGACATTCTTCAAAGAAATGGAGCAAACACTCCTGAAATTTATATGGAACAATAAGCCCCCGCGAATAG